TACTGAAAGATACAATCTGAAGCCTGATCTTTTTGACTGTTTTCCTTGAAGGTGACAGCCTTCCTCCCAACGAAAACCAGTCTCCTACTTTTCGCTTGTTGTAACCTCGACAGTTCGATTATGATGTTGACATTTTCATCTTACGAGGCTGCTTGGGTTTTTAGTGGGAACATAAAATGTTGGACAACTCGCCTCTATCTCAAAAGCCCCGTTTCTGAAAGGGTGTAAGGTGAGACCTCTTCAAATTCACCTAGACGGTTTCTGAAGAAGATGTGAGGAGAAGGTCTGTTCAATTCATCTAGCCGGCTTTCAAACAGTATCCTTTCTTCAGCTCTTTATTCTAATGTTGCTGGATGTTCAGGCATTGGGATCTTCGAGTCTCTTTCACAAATTGCCAATTACAGGTGCCAATGGCTCTTTTCGAAGAGACGAAATTATTCCGAACAGGCGTAGAGTGGCAACAACTCCGAACGGAGGGAAGGGCAGTTGTCCGGCCAAGGTCAGATAGACCCAACGCAATTCGCCTTTTTCTGGCCGACTAACAATATTTCTGCCTAGACCCATGAAAAATGTGTCGGATTAGCTGTCGGCCGATGTGCAGGCCGTGCGTTATCATGTTCAATTGATAGATAAGGAGTATGAGCATTTCCCGGAATATCACACTATATAAAGTAGCGCTCAAAAGTTCTCGGCTGAACGATTCTTCACTCGCACTTTTCAGTCATAACTCCTTTCCCACTGGATCTAATCAAGCGAAATTTCAATACGTGTAGCATGAGAAAAAGCACATTTACCACTATTACCCTGCATTCTGATCATGTTCCAAATGTCCCAAAGGACTTGAAATCAAAACCAACTGAAAATAGGGACAGTGGTGCTTCTAGGCTTCCTTTCCTTTTTGCCATGCTTAAAGTGAACGAGCGCTAATGCTGAACACAATAGAGGAGAAAAACGCAAATAAGGTGCGAATAACTGCAATTGCGAATGCGATTTGCTCCATTGGGAAAAAGTTACGGCAAGTTGAAGTTGGCCGAATACTTTTGAGCGCTACTGTATGTAACGCGATAAGTGTATCTGCTGGTTTGTCGGTGTGTGTACGTAAATATGTGTGTCGGTGTGTGCGTGTTCAACGGAAGATTCATAGCCTCCGTTCCCGTAAACTTAGAGCGTCTAATTTTGGGCGGAAAACAGGCGGTCGAATGGGAATGCTGAAGGTGGGTGGCAGAGTTGGACTCCTCCTACAAGGGCGGGGAGTGCGCTAAAAACTGTTAGAGAGGGAAGATTCATGCCTATTTTCTGTGACTTTAAAGTTGACAGGGGCGCAGCAGCTTGGTGCGAGTTCAGGAGGCAAGGTCAAGGCGAGGATGGTATGTGCTACAAAGTGATAGCACTGGGTGGGCGTAGTGGCGTAGTAACCTTAGTGAAAATATGCGATCCGACTGCCAGTCAAGTTGGAGTAAATGGGGATTGAATCAAGTTACTAAAACCACAGTACTTGAGCAGCGCTTTTCTCATGGTGGGCGAAATGTGTCGGACGTATGTGTGTGTATAGCCGAGAACTTATTCTTCGTGTTCTCCAGATTCGGATCGTGTTCACCAGATTCGGATCAAACGTGGGAAGCAGGCCAACTCTACACGAAAAGGGAGAAAGCTGGGCGTTAGCCATGCGATCCGATTAGTGATTTGTATAACCAGCACTAATATTGAAGCAAAACCAAACTGGGAATAGTGAATGGGATCAATCGGAACCAGAAGAAAGAAATAGTAGCGGCTAACCGCTACCCAATAGCGTTGGGAAAGCCGTTTCTCGCAACTGTCATAAGTCTGTTCAATCAGAGTTCCTGCTGAACAGGTCGTTGGGCGAAGTGGTCAGTTGTCTCACAAGTTGATTGAGGAACGCATCCAGCAGATTGGAAATTTTATTCGTAGACAACATTGCGAACTTCATACTCAGGCCTCCATTAAGAGTTCCAGAAATTTGATATGCTGCCCTGGTCAGTCCCACGAGGGGATAATCGGTCTCACTCCTTACTGTAGCTCGAAAATTCAGTCTGCTTGTCCAGACACGATTCCTACATTCCGTGTTTCTTTGCTAGATTTGTGCAGTTATGTTAATTATGCTTTCTATGCCATAAATAGTTCTGTTGTGTTAGAATTTTGATTTGTTGTGTTAGAATTGTGAAAAGCGAATTTTTTCAAATAATTAGTTTATTTTCACCATTAAAAAAACCTCAAAAGACTCCTGATCACTCGCTTACCTGAATACATGTAGCTATTTGGTCTCTACATCCTTAGCCTTCGATCAGAAGTCCGTAGAGATTCGATACTTCATTTATTTGATAAGTAGCTGAAACGCTACTGAGCGAGATCCCTGTGTGTGTCATCAAGCTGAAGAAGAGTCACCAGGCATTTGCTTGCAATAGAAATAATTTGCACGAAACCATTCACATGGCAGTTGTTGCAAATTAGTTCCATCCTTGGATCATCCAAATCCTACAGTAATAGAGAAATTTTCAGCCTAGCCTCAAAGAAAGAGTTCGTGATAGATTTAAACCTGATACGCCCAAAACGAGGTCCACGATTGGCCAAGTTGATTACTAATTTGATCCAAATAACACATTTCGCTCTAATGTAAGTAGCGATCTCTATATGCTTGTGTGCAATTTGTTCGAGATTCGTTGGAATGCTGACCCAAGAAGCCAGTCGCAGAAAAAGTTATGTTTGTTCCATTACATCTAAGTTGAAGCCTTAGTTCAGCACCCAAAGAACAGGTTTTACCTGTAAGGAAAAGAAAAGGAATGAACATAAAATATCTTTTTTATGCATGTGTTCGGTGACACTCAGGTTAACCTTACACGTGCTACACAAAGTGCAATCGTAAAGGTTCCTGCCGAGTGTCAGAACTCGATTGCTTTTGATCGTCTTAACTTTGACATTCAACCACTACATGATTTACATTCAAAGGATGTTTAGCCACAAGCAAACACCCACGCGCCGTTTCTGTCTGTATCCGGGCTAATCACTTCTGAACTTCCGAAGATCTGAGAGCTTTAACAGGATCTAAGAGCTCTCTGTACATCGATAGTAGCATGAGTTAAAACGAGTGAGTTGATGGCTAACGTTCGGAACGTGTCTATAGATGGGATTGAAGCCAGAGTTCAGGAGGTCTTTGAATAATAGTTATATTTGCATACATCCTATATCCATGTTGGGCGAATAGGTGGTAGGTCTATATACACTTATACCATCACGTATATGAAAACAAAAGCTCCCATCGTGGACAAATCATTGGACAAAATTTTCGAGAATCTTCTAAGAAGTCACTTCTACAGTCCATAAAATTTCGGCGTGACGGTGCGCTCCTAAAGTTTTTGCTTGAAGGCTGCAATAAATCGAGTCGTTGAAGCCATTTCCTGTTTCAGAGTGATCAATAGCGTAAAGGGTAAATCGCCCTGAATGCTATTAATCTCCTCGCTGATATACACCAAGTACACATCTCCTGGGTTGTAGCCGGAACATGTGTGTTTGGTGGAACTAAAACTTTTGATTCCCAGCCATAGTCCATTGCACCCTTCTACTCTGGGCAAAGGGAATGACAAAGCGATCCGGAAGGCAGGATATGATACTTATTTAACTCTGCGCTTCACGTTTGTCGTAACAGTGCAGCATGTCGCTTTCCGACCTAACCGGTCTTATCTTCACCATAATAATATCACCCTAAGAGAATAGGCGATACGATAGAGGATAACGAAAGGTGAAAGAGATTAGCTTGATAAAACAAAGGATCCTATCCTATACCCTATTATCCATTTAGAATCCCCCTATCTGCTCAGCAACACAATGTTGACTCATCATTTTTCCGAAAGGTGGCTCATAGAGATCTTGAATTTCAGAGTATTTCGATGCCGAATCATTTGTTTCGCAAAAAAGAAAGCCAGCCCACTCGAGATTTCTCCGACGAGAAAAAGACCAGTGACTCTCGAATTCGTTCGATATGAACTGTCGCATTCTCTCTAGCCGATCAGAGTGAAAACGCAGCTTTTTGCGGAATATTTCTGAGATAGGCGCTTCAAAGCGAAGGTCAGGGCGAAATCAGAGTCCAGAGAGACATCAGAAAGGGATTGTCTGACCTTTCAGTGACGGATCTTCTCTCATTGATGGTTAGCTATAGAACAGAGCAACTCGGAAAACTTCGCATAGGTTCAGCCTTCGTAAAATAAGTTAGCGTGTTCATAGGAAAGCTAAGCGTTTAAGCCAGTGGAGCTGCAACATTCGGCAGTCATAGTATACAGCAGCAGGACTATTGGTCGTATTGTCATTGGAAGTCGGCGGCGCCTAACCCGCAGGCCTAATTTTCTATCTCTGATTTTGCCCAACGAGTTTCAAATTTTATGCGTTTCTGACGTTTCCGGTCAAGCATTAGGCAATCTCTTTGGAAAAGCCCGTCCTGCTGACATATCTGAAAGTGTCTGTTTCTGTCAAGTAATGTTTCTGTTCTCTAGTTGATGATAAATTTCCAAAGATGAGTGCATGGGTAAAACATTCTTCATTCCCCTATATGACGCAGCATCGACCCTTCCGGTAACAAGGAGCTTTTNTTTTCCCTTAACGCCAGGAAAGTTGACCCTGGATGACTAATAAAACTGGACATCTTAACTCAACGCTCACTTCACGCTACCTGAACTCGAACTGCTTTTTTCAAGGATGCTGCCATTCTGAAGAAAAAAAGTGATTCTTCCCAGACAGAAACTTTGCTTTGCGAACGGCTTTCCAGTTTCCTGCACAAACCCAACAGAAAAGAAAATTTTCTAATCAAGTCCCATCGAGTTTGCGTGTTTGGGTAGCGATCGCATCAGTGAAAGAAAAATGAAAATTCAATAAAAACACGCTTCTTGAGAAGGAAATTGTCAGTGAGTTAAAATTTATTAGGTGCTCTATTCTCAAAAAATCGGAATAGATGGCTAAGAAGGCGTATTGCATAGAAAGACAATAGGAGGCTGTCAACGTCGAGTTCCGTCTTCGAAGAACACTCCGCCATCAATTGCACAGTACTTAGGACAGATTCCGGGCTCTCCAGGACTTCCTGGTGGCCCAGCTGGTCCAGGTGTACCTGGATTTCCGTCGGCTCCAGGTTTGCCATCTGGTCCGGGAGGTCCTTTTGGCCCAGGTTGCCCTGAAATGAATAGCATTGTGTTCTGAATATCGTGCTAAAGCAAATTCACTGAAAAGTGGACTCACCAGGTGCACCATCCGCTCCTGGTAGACCGGGTGCTCCTGGAGGTCCCTGTGGTCCTGGCTCTCCAGCTGGTCCCGGTTCTCCTGGGATAAGAGGTTCTGAGACGGCATCCATTCCCGGTTCTCCAGGGGCGCCGGGCGCTCCAGGGTTGCCATTCGGTCCTGGAGGTCCTTTTGGTCCAGGTTCTCCTGGAGGCGCATCATTTCCAGGAGCGCCTGGAGCTCCGTTTGGTCCTGGATCTCCAGGAGGACCTTGAGGACCCGGTGGACCGGGCGGCCCTTGTGGGCACGGTTTGCATGGTGGTGGCGTGATCGGTTCACACGGCTGCTGAGGTGGACGTCCTGGATTTCCGGGAAGGCCAGGAGCTCCTGGCTTACCAGGGCGTCCAGGCTTTCCTGGTACTCCGGGAGGACCTGCTGGACCTGGGAGGCAGCACGCCTCACACGCATTTCCACCCATGCTGGTAACTGAAGATCCAGACGATACCGCAGCGTCTCCGTAGCCGGCTTGACGGGAAGTACGGTTAGACGGGATGTTTTTGAGACTGTTCACCTCGCTCCAAATATCCTTCGCTGATCCCTAAAATGCTGCCAATAGGTAGTTAGCTTAGTAGCAGAGAATTAATCATTGAACACAACTTTCACATTATTGCAAAGTAACCCACCTTGCAGTAATTGATTTCTGAGTGCATAGATGTCTTCACATGATGTACATAGTTGTATACCATGGGAAGCGTAACACAGACAGAAAGTACTGCCACAACAGAGAACGTGACAGCGGAATAGGCCACGAAACGGTAAGCTTTGATCCGCTGCTCTAAATCCATTGTGGCGAACGGAATGTGTTAAACACTTCTACACCTTGGCTTAAATACCCAACAAGGTGTTTCCTGTCGTCAGTGGGCGTGACACCGGCCCTCCCTGGGTATCGGAAACCGGACCCAAGTACGTGGTCCACCCAGCGTAAGTCAGCGACGTAAAGCGCACACTGACTATCACGATTGGAGCGTTTTGCTAACGGACCTAAACCGATACTCAAACCGAACGCGACTCCCTTCGCAGTTTCTGACCAGACGCTACAGCGCTCATATGCTATCCCGGCAAAGTCGAGAATCACGTGTGAAACTGAAAGTCAGTGGAAGTTCGCAGCCAAACATTGATGATGCTCAAGTAAGTTTAGCATTCAAGAAACTGAAGCACAAATTGTCCCAAAAAGTAGAGGAAAGAAAGTTCCTTCCTATTTGTTCAGAGCGGCGAAGTCAAAAAAAAGGAGAACTGCTTACTAGTAAGGTCTGGAGGCCATAGTCACTTACTTGCTAGGGTCAGCGAGTGTTCGGTAGAACTGCTATTCAAACTGCATGTCTTCCCTTGCCCATTAATTTGATTAAATAAGGAATTGTAACATCTTCGTTCAATCCTGGGATGTCCCACACGTATGTCCCATGAACCGCACCACCTCGTCATAGGGCCACATCACTAGACAACAAGACTATGATGTTGATGAGTGACTATCGTTGTGCTGTACGACCGCTACACTACGGAAGTACTGTATAGGGAAGCTCCTTTACGAATTTACGTCGAAGCTCTGCAAAAATATCTGTTCAAATGTGTCCCACGTACTGAACAACAACCTTCGGCGGTTGTGCCTGCTCCTTGTTACTTCAAAAGGCATTATGACAATTGCTGAACTAAAGGATTTTCCAACTTCTTTTACTTACGAGTCCTTAAGCACTATGTCATTCGAGAAAAGTCCATTCTTCTCGTAAAAAAGAACAGAAGCAAATCGTATTGGAGATGGTAGAAACCCGTTTTGAGTTCACCATGTTTTTTGATCCTCGACTGAAGACAGGCAGAGAACATATTGTTTTTTTTGCTGCTGTTTTCTTGAAAAAGGATTGAGTTAAAACAAATATACCAATATTGCAACAAGGCCCACTTAATTTTAGGGATGCAAGTTCTTCGTCATTGAACCGTGGTGGACAGTGTACACTTCTTCCATGAACTCACCTCACTGCACCTCTGTTTTATAAGTTGATCGTACCCTTGTGATTGTCTCGATTGCCGCCTTTTGATATGTAGTGCAATCTGCAATATTCTGTTGTTCCTCAACAATTTGCGTAGATGACCCTGCTCGGTGCGACAAAGAAAGTCGTAGATAGGATGAAGTGCACATGTGAACAGTGATGAAAGGTCACTTAGAGCACCACTATACTCATTGAGCAAAGAATTTGTATTTCGGAAAAATGGCGAGCTCATAAAAGTACTTCTTCAACAAAAGTGCTCGGTCTTGAATGCGGGCAGTGGGGTGGACTCGGCGAATTTTGCTTAATATGAAGAATAACACAGAATGGAACTATCAAATCACAATGTGTGGACCGCTACAAACGCCAGTGATCTATAGTTCCACAAAGGTCAACTTCTAGCTTATGATGTGGATCATGACCTTACAGTGAAATATCGGAGCCTGCAGAAATGACTGCTCATATTCTACTACATGGTTGAAGTAAGGAATATTCTTATTAAAATGCTGCTACATCGTCGCTCAGTAAGCACAAAGACGGGTAAAGAATGAAGCAGACGAACATTTTCTGGTTGGGTGGGTTAACTTACATACAAGTTACCAAAGTGGGCAGATTCGACCTGCAAATTACTGAGAAACTTCAGAGCTGCGAAACCGCCGCGTTTCTTGGACTTGGTGATTCTACCTCCATATATAAAGAACTGGGGTTAAGGCTTTCCTGATCACCTTCGTCGTAACTTGGAGAAGATGTTTGAGCGATCCATTGTAGAATTTGGAAAGGTCAACGTCGGTAGGACAAAACCGCAAGTGGTCACCACGTGACCTCGAAGTCTCCAGCAGAGGAGAAGATATCTGAAAAAACCAAGCACCAGGTGATCTTTGTCGACATGATGATTTCAGGTGCTTCGAACTTCTCTTTCCTACATCCCGTTTCGTGAAGCACAAATTCGTGAAGCACAAATTTTCAACCGTTTTTCATGGCAAATCTTTTCGTTCATTCTTTCAAACTGCACTCGATAATATTGGAAAAAGAATGGACTTCTGCAGTTTCTTTACATTTCAGGTCTATGTATCTTCCAGATCACCCTCGTCGTAACTTGGTGTTGCGCTTAAAACGATTAGAGCTTCCGCCAATGAATGAAATGCAAAAGCCCTATTTGAGTTCAAGCAAAGTTCGATGTTCACGGCTATGTAGATCTTGACTAGGGCACCTTCTTGAGGGCGCCACACCGTCACATACCAAGACACAGCTATTCTCCATTCCAGTGGACAGCGTGTAATGGGTCATATATACATACAAGTATACATATATATATATTCTCTTTTTGGTCCTTCCGATACTATTCTTCTCAGCTATGCGAGCTCCGCGTATTGAAGGAACAGATCGCTTAAGCCCTGCCCAACTAAGTGCAAGCCTCGAACACTTTGGAAATCCAACCACATCCCTTCCTTAGCCTCGAAAAACTATTACTTTCTTCTCGTCGTACAACGTTTCCAAGCAAAGTTATATTTTTTTTTTGTCAAAAAGTATATTTCGGTTGTATGCACATTCCAACCACCAGGCGCAGAGCTTTGCTAATAGGCATTTTGAAAGAACCATGAACAGCAATCCGTAGTAATTTTACATGTTATTCGTTTCGCCCTTCACTTGGACTAACCAACTCGTTCCCACTGAACCTGTAGCTCATCAGTAAGTGAGGAACAGTTGGAACTAGTGAACCTATTCTAGCAGATGATTGGTTCGACACATATACTCCATTGAACCCTTGAACTTTGAACCGTTTCGCAAACAAAAGTCGTTCCATCCTCTTCTTGCTGTTCCTCTAGCCATGTCTATCAAAGTTTGACTACGAATAGTGCTACTGTCGGAGCTCTTACTATGGCCAAACCTTTGAATCTACGTCGAATTCTCGCTTCTTTCCGAATGATCGCGGAAACGCTGTAATCTGGCGGCTTTCCATCTCCCCTTTCGTCTGCGTGCTCTTCTTCACAGTGTTCTGCAAGACGTTTACGGCTTGCAAGGCCTTCCTTGCACGCTGGGCAGACATCCTTTTTTGAGGTGGCGCTTATGTAGGTTGCCCACTCACTTCACTTTTTATCTCCTCTCCTGTTTCTCTAGTGTAACTGAAAGGTGAAAGTAGAGATTTTCTTTTTGGATCACCTTCTTGCATACAGGACAGGGCCGCAGAACACTTAACATCATCCTAATAGTTATAAAAAGCGAATATTATGTGGAGTAAAAAAAATCATGAGAAAACTGTTGTGAAGGCCAAATTACGAAAAGGAGTAGGAGGAAATAGCCCGATGCCGCTTTATGCGATGACAAGAAGGAAAATGAGATGAAGCTTGCGCAGTGCTTATATAGCCATGAGCCATTCTATGTATTTCATCATCGACCGCATATTTCGATAGCTCCCTAGGGGTCAACACTTCTCTTCGAAACCACCTTGCTGGTTTGATGGTTCTGAGGTGCTGTCGATCTTTTCGACCAATAGGCAGTTCAGATTGAAGTGATGTAAGGCGCACATCCTCACCACGAAACCTAAAAGAGGTTTTTAAGTATTTTTTTGACGAGCGATGACCATGCCATGAGCGATTCTTACGATCTACTATGGGAAAATTAGAGTGTGCAAAGTTGCACATGTATTTAAGAAGTGGTATCTAGGTGGCAACTTAGAATATTTGCGCGTCGCGTTTAAAATCACTAAATTTAACCCGAAAAAATTCACGTGAGTCCTGAGGATACCAGCTATTTGCAAGTAGAAAATCCTAATTAAGCATGGAGTTCCATCCAATTGACGTCATGATCGTCCCGCACTCGCGGCCGGTGTAGGGCTTGTAAGACAGCTTATCGTGAAGCATAGCCACAGCCTATATCGATCTATCACTCGAAGATATACCAAAGTGTCACTCGCTGATGGGTCGACTCATACTCTCTGAAACCTGCTCTTCCTCATTACTACACGCCGCGATCAACACCGGGAGCTTTTGTGCGGAGGCTTGTAGAAAAGTGTGAAGCGAAAGTATCTGTTTCGATTCTGGAAATACCGTGTTACAAGAGCATTCGTATAGCTACATCGTGAGATATTTTCCCAAATGAATGGAATTGATCGATACTACCAAAGAATTGGAAGTTGAAGTTAATATTTAACATTATTACACCACCTCTAGGCACAAATTTAGGTTATTGACAATGCACAGATGAGTTTTCCTTCCTTTTAATGGCCCATGCAAATGACTTCAGACTACAGTCAAATTTCACATTCCGAACGATCCTGTCAACATAAGTCAGTATTTTTTCATATTGCAGAAAAGAGTGTGCGAAAAAAAACTTGATATTATGTGGTGATTCTGATGTAGAAATACGTTATAAGAATAGCCCTGTTGAAGCCCTGATTTTTGGCAAAGACATCTGCGGTAAAACCAATGTTTATGACTAGTTTTAAGAACTGCCTGCCTGAAAGGGGGTGTAGACTTTATTGTATGATTGTCAGATTTCAACGTGTATACAATGCCACCAATATCAACACACATACTTCGAGCGGCTATTACCTGATAATTATATTAAATGTCGTTGTGAACGGAAGGGATATTATGCAATGCTTTTGGATCCCTCGACCCTCAACAAGTTCAGCGAAGACTATGAGTATAGGCCCATACTGACATGGCTGGAGTACCGAAAATTGACCTTAAAATACCACGGAACATAGCTCGTACCCGGGAGAAACGACACACGCACGAATCCCGTGAAATACGAGGAGTACGAATATATTTAACCTACGGAGATACTGAGAATTACGGACAGCT